TTATCCGACCATCCATTACCCGCCTTTAAGTTGTACAACTTTAATACCACAGACAATCTTGTGAAAGTAGTGCAACCTTTATACAACAATTCCTCTGCATCGCTTACCAACCTCTCAAACATCTTGGGACAATCCTGAAGATCTTCTTCAAGTGCTTCTGCAATCTCTTATACTCGATCACAATCATATGTATCTCTGTCATTGTCATTTGAAGCATAGGTCGTATTATCCCCTGGTTCAACATTCTCGTTACTTATATCACCATGTAATGTCCATGACATTCTCGTTACTAAGCAAGGACATGTGATCCTACTAGGGTCTTTGGCGTGTTCAACAACAGAATTAACGAATTTTGGTACCCCGTTCTCTTAATCTTTTGACAATCGATTGGAAGACATCTATTTTTTATCCATACTAATTAAGTAGACTAAACTAAACTAAGTAAGCTAAATAAAAATAGCGAATACTTGTAGCACCTGTAGAGAAATCACCAACTTCTAGAACTACACAGTAGGATTCTTGGAAACGATCACAATCTTCCTCTTCACGGGTAACCCTTATAACAAATTCATAAGTTAGTAGTTGTACCTAATATAACCACTTGATGACTTAAGTTCAAGAAATTAATCAACAAAATCACAATATTTAACAAGTAATTCGCAAATATTCAAACATAAACAATATTCAAGAACATCAAGAACATTCAACAATTAATTCAAGTTTCCATCAACAACAACATTAACGTATATACAAAATTAAAATACAAAATTAATTCATTTACTTTCATCAACAACATCAACATCATTAACATCAACACTAACAACATCAAAAACAACATCGAGAAACTTAATTCAAGTTTTCAGCAACAACAACCACATTAACATATATACAAAATTAACTTACAAAGTTATTTCATGTTTTCATCAACAACATCAACATCAACACTAACAACATCAACAACAACATTCTCGTTACAACATCATCAACATCATCAACATCAACAACATCAAGAACAACACCAACAACATTAACATCAAGAACAAAATAACTTTAATATTAACTTCAATATTAACGTCAAACATCCCAAAAATATTCTAAATATGATTATTATATATTTTAATTAAAATTTGATGTGTTTTGAAAATGTGCCATAATAAAAAGAGAATAAAAACAATTAAATATATTTATAGTTTTTCTAAATATCTTATTTCATTTTTAATCCCTTAAAAAATATTTTTCTAAAAAATATTCTTAATATATTTTTCTATGTAGTTGTCAATGATTTACAATTATTTAACATGCATGTTCTAGTTCTTATACACTGATCATATTAGTAGAAAAATCAAAGTTTACTAATTTGATAAAAGTAAATAATGAGAACATGAAAATCAAAGTTTAAGGATTTGACAAAGAGTACCTTGAAAATGGTGAAATGACCGGACAGAGGAGGCACGACGGACGGAGGGAGACGACGGTCGGTGGAAATGACAATGACGGCGACTGGACAGACGGAGGGAATAGGGTTTGTCGTGAAGGTGTTGTGTTTAGTTTTCTGAAAGTGATGTCGGATGAAAAATGATAAGGCTGTCTGGAAAAAACTGTTTTATTAAAATACAGATATCACATATAGCAGCGCTTTCCTAAAGCGCTTTCGTATGCCCCCTATAACAATGCTTTTAGATGAAAGCAGTTTCGTATGCTCCCTCTTTAGTAGAGCTTTTAGAATGCGCTCTCTTTACCCTCCCCCTATAGCAGCGCTTTTAGAAAGCGTTTTCGTATACACCCATATAACAGCGCTTTCGTAGCCCCCTTTTTAGCAGCGCTTTCTGAAAAGCGCTTTCTTTTGTATTACAAAACTCACACTTTTAGCAGTACTTTTTTATAAACGCTTTCTAAAGTCAGCGAGTTCCCCCCCCCCCGCCCCCCCCCCCCCCTGTTTTTTTTACTCTTTAGCAGCGCTTTTTTAGAAAGCGCTGTCTTTTTTGTGCTGGCAAAAATCATTTCTGGCGTAGTGTGAGTTACGAAGTATAGTAGTCAAAATCATATCGGCGAGAGTTTAATAAAATAATTTATCATTAATTAAATGAGTTTTATTATTATTTTGATGTAGAAATTATTTATATTATTATTACTTTTAGAATGTTTTCAAGACAGTTAAGATTGAAACACTTTGATGGTTAACATTTTATAATAGTATATAATAAGTGTATTATTCTCTCTTATAGAACATGAATGAAATGAAAATGAAGTTTATTTTTATTAGCTTAGTTTTATCTCTCTCTTAATTTTATTTATCTTTTTCATAGCGTAGATTTTACAACTTTCTTAAGTTTTGTTAGGATTCATCTTTTAGCATCCTAACAATTGGTGCTCTCATTAGTGCACTTAGTCTCCCTTCCATGGTATATTCTTACTACAATCATCCATTTTACTCCATTTTCACTAACTCATATTATTCCACGACAACAACCATTTCTTATCCACCACCCATAAATCCATACCCTACATGTTATTATTCATTCCCAAATACTCTACTATCATCTATCACTCCATACCAGCAACACTTAAACCTTGCTCCACATCAACAATTATCCTCCAACTTTACTATTCCACCCACATCTCAAAGTACTTATTCACAACCAGAAACATTTCATAATACACTAGAAACTCTTCAATATTTTTTTGAAAGAAACTCATGAAATCTCAAAAAAAATCTACAGAAAATTTAAAATAACAACTTCAAATTTTTTCTCAAAAGTTTTCTGATTCACAACAAAAATTGAAAGAAAAATACATGTCCAAAAGTAATATAGAAAAACAACCGGAAGAAAAATAGGAAATAGAAAATTCTGGTTCACAAAGAAGTACTCCAACGAAATTTCCGACGTCTTCTCCAATGATACTTCCAGCAAAATTTTGGGTGTCATATTCGACTACGTGTTTTTAAAAAAAGGTTCAGAAATCCAGTTTTGAAACTGCAGTTTGTTAAAGAAAAAAAGGACATTGTTATAACTTCCAGGATCGGTGTTGGCTTTGCATAAGCCACCGACAAAACCATCGAATTTACACTCTCCATCAATGAAATCATAGGAACCGCCAACAAAATATCAGATCTTAAATCTGAACCATTAGATTCACCACTAAATCTACTGTTTATCAGTCCACAACTCCGGCCACCGCTGAAACCACCACCATTTTTAGACTGCATCATTTAATTTTTATTTATTAAGTATTTGAAGCAATGTTTGAAAAACCAGATCGAACCGTCCGGTGCAACCGGTGGACCGGGAGTCGGAGATGAATTCGGCTGGGTTAACCTTTTAAAACAGTTAGTGGATCAAAGCCGAAGTTAAATCGGAAAAATTGGGTTGAACCGTCCAAAACCATTCGAACCAAAGAAGCGGAGTCGATTTTGTAAAACCGTTTGGTTCATCATGTCATCACTTTCAAACATAGTCACATTATCTAACTCAATAGTGATTGTCATTCAAGTCAATATTGTTTGTTGTTGTCAATTAATTCTTGTTTGTCATAATTCAACTCAAATTCGATTTTTTGTAGTTTAATGAAGTATATTGTATTATTTATATTTGGATATTCTATGTTATTTAATTTAGGTATTCTTAATTATTCAAACTTTATTTTAGTTATTATATTATATTATTTTTATTTTGGTTTAAATTAGTTTAATATATTTTATTATAATTCTTTAGTTTCGTCAAAATATTCTTAAATGATGGTTGAAATGAAGCGTAGAACTATGTTATGTTATGTATTATTGCTATTGTTGTATTAAATTTGTAATGAATTTTTGAAATATTTATTTTATTAAGTTGTGAACATATAATTATGTGTGACATATCTATGAAATTTAATTTTATATTATTAGTTTATTTAATAAACGGTTCGACCGTAAGTTTAACCGGTTTAATCAATTGAACCTTAAACTACAAGTTTCACTGGTTCGATCCCGATCCGTTTTTTAAAACATTGATTTGAAGAGTAAAGAAGAAACAGAAGAAAAGAAGAAAAGTAAGAAGAAGGCGAAGGAAAACAAAACAGAAAGAAGAAGAAAGAGAGAGGAAAAAAAGTTGTTGAAAAAGAGCATGACACACATTTTTTTCCTTCAAATAACCATTTAAAAAAAAAAATACAATTTAATAAGGAATTCAAAAAAATTCACAAAATAACCATAAATCAGCATTGAGGTGTCATATAAAATGGCTGATGGGTGAAAGAAAGCACCAAATCGTCATCTCATATAGCGCCACCCTACAAAAAGGTGCCCTAAAATTACAGAGGAGGAGGCGCCATGATATGACGCCTCAGCTAGGCCTATTTTTTTTTATATTAATTAATATTTTATTTTAAAAATTATAATAAAAAATAATATTTATAATATTAAAAAGTGAAAATAATATATATATATATATATATATATATATATATATATATATATATATATATATATATATATATATATTTATTTATTTATTTATTTATTTATTTATTTATTTATTTATTTATTTTAGAGGACTTAAAGATGTAAGGTGAAATATATCAACATACATCCTAGATGTAAGTTAAAGATGATTTTCTGTCAGGAACATGCTAGTCCAGAAAATTTGGAGTGGGGATATTCTAGTCCAGAAAATTTGCAGGGTGGCTTGGAAACTCAGATCGGCAAAATTATGTGTATCTTTAAAGAATAAAACTAAAACTGCTATCTGCTTATTTAATTGAAATTATTGGGATGTTGTTGTATAAATTATTGGGAGGTTATATGTGTACCTTGGAAGGACATTTTGAATAGTTAGGTGATATCATCAAAAAAAAATTGTGGTTGAGATAAAAGGTACTCTCCCACTTGTAAACGAACAGGAACACTTAACAAAATTTGACCAAATTTACAACAAAATAATATTTTAAGGACAGTTATATTTAAAATCAAGACAATTTTTATTAGGTCACAAAAATAGGACACACGAATACAATTAAATCTAGTTCTTGATAATACTAGGAAAAGAAGTATTAATGACAGAGAAGCCACCGTCAACCACCAAGTTGTGTCCACTGATATAAGCAGATTCATCAGAAGCAAGAAACAAAGCAGCTTCTGCAATATGCTTAGCCTTCAATGTAACTCCTTTCAAATTACCACAATCATTTGCATCAGCTTCAACTTCACTCACCTCCATCTTCAGTGCTTTACATACAAGAGGTGTGGCAACTAAATACGGTGAAATAGAGTTCACTCTAATCCCATAAGCTCCAAGTTCACCGCATGTTGAACATACAAGTCCTACAAGACCATGTTTGGATGTCACATAATCATGGCCAGCACTTCCAGCAACAGAGGCAGCCGCACTAGCAGTACAGATAATCGATCCTCGGATTTTTCGATCCACCATGACACGTGCAGTATGCTTGATAGCTGCAGCCGCGCCTCGAATATTTACAGCCATGGTGTTGTCGAATTCGTTCAAATCGAATTCTAGTATGCTAGACAAAGGACCTGGAATTCCAGCGTTGCTGAACATGATGTCTAAGGTGCCATATTTCTCTAAGGTGAAGGATACAGTTTGTTCAACTTGTTTTTCATCTCTCACGTCACAGTGGTGGTAACTCACTTTGTCTAAGCCAATCGAAGCTGCGAGTTGGTGACCCAATTCGTCGTTGATGTCTGCCATAACTACAAATGCTCCGCTGTCGGCAAATGTCTTCACTGCCTCTGCTCCTATGCCGCTTGCTGCTCCTGTCACTATGGCAACCTTACCTTCCAACCTATGACAAAATATATAGATCTAGACTTATTACATGAAGGTTGGCTTATTATATACAATTATACATGTCAGTGTCCTTGTAGTATCGACACATCTAAAAAATTATGTATGGTGTTTGAGATTCACACATAAACGTTCAATTTATTATTTTTAAATTATTATGGATACCAAGATGTTAGTGTCATTTATAATATTATGCCTATGTAATTATTTCGTAAGTTTATGCATAAGATACTCTATCAGAGATTGATTAGTATTAAGTGATACTGGTAGATATTATATACGTATAATATAGTTATCAAAACAAAAACAAAACAAAAAGAATTGTGAGAAGAAACTACTAGTTAGAAAAATGTGTTCGGAAATAAAGAAAGCCAGACACTAAAGATAACACCATGCCTTTGTTTTGACATTGATGATTCGATGAGCTACCTTGCTTTGAGTTATGAATTTTTTGTTGTGTGTATCTAATGCTCTCTCCACTCCTTTTCATATATATAGGAAGGAAGCAATAGTTGAGATGTCCTACCACTTGCACCAGGAAACTATTGTATCGTCCTTTGGCACTTTTGATGAAACGGAAGTCTTGGCCCCAAATAGCATGTGAAAGGACAAAGATACCCTAGAAAAGTTACTTGATTCAACCCTTTGTGAAAGGGATGGCCTATAAAATGTGTTTGTTGCAGAGAATGGGATCTTGGAGTCCGCTCAAAAGACGTAAAGGAGCATGGTACCCCTTTTACACTTGTCGGGAAGGTGTAACATTTGTAGGGACTGATAGAGAAAAAAGAAAATACAATGGGCAAGGTTTGAGCATCATTATCTAAGCATCGAAGATGACTTGAATGATACTAAGGAGTCATTTAAAATTGGGAACAAGCCTGTTGACGACATATACGGTACTCAAAAATGTGTGAAGGCACAAGGAAGAGATAAAAACCTTGACTAGGTAATTAGGGAAGTTCAAGGAGGAATATGACAATGCAATCAATGTTACTAGCCAAGTGATGTATGCCTCATTTGATAACGCCCTTAGCCAAATGGAACAATTGTGTTCATAAGTGAAAATCTCCTAAGACTAGCTCAACATGGAACACAAGGTCTTAGAAAGAAAACTGGCTACTCGTGGTGAAAATACGACTTCTTAGTTATTGATTTTCTTGTCTTTATTTTCCATCATTTTCTACATAAATTGATTTTTTTTTATGTTTGCTATGACTAGCCTAAAAATTGGTCTTCACGTTATCCTGCTTCTCTAGAGATCGTGTCGGGCAAAGGGTATGTTCCCCTTCTATGCCACCGGGTGAGAACCCAATTTTAAACTGATGTAATTGATGTTTCACCGACTACGCTCTATAATGGCTAGCTAAAAAGGGGTGAATGTGCCTGGTGCAATGTTCTGTTTTTTTTCTTTCAAATTTCATCTAGACGTTTGTAGTGGTTTCATGATAGATTTGAAGTTCTTAACTTTTCATTTTCAAAGGTTAGTTCCACCGACGGTGATGGTCATCAAGCTTTTCCATGTCTTTCAGGAAAATAATAAAATTAAAAATTATCAAACAATATACTATCCTAATTAAAAATTACTATAATTTTTTTATGAATTATTAAGTAGTATATTTTAAAACCACGATATTTACGACAACTCAATTAGGTAGCATTACCCAATTTTTTCGGGTTGGTAATGAAATTGCCACCTTTATTAAAGATCTTATTTCGTGAAATAAAATACACCATTATTTTTTCTTATAAAAAAAGGAGTAGAGAGAATATTAGATACACATGTTGGTGCAAAGGTGAATAAATGATGAACAAAGGAAATATTCTATTAAGAATGACGGCTACAAAAACATGATAAAAGTTACAATAATCGTCACCCTATTTATAAGCTAAAACTAGAATTACTAGAATAAGATAAAATACTAAAGTACCCTCTAACAAACTTAGGAGCTAAGAAAATAGTACAACTAAATAAATATGAATTACTATTAATATTCTAATACCATCCCTTAATTCATATTCCATCAAAATTTGTAACACCAATTCCATCCCTTAGTCTAAGAAATTGATCAGTCTTAATAGCTTTCGTCAGAACATCTGTCAACTGCTTCTGAGTGCTGCAGTGTACAACTTCTAACACTCCACTCTGAACTTGATGTCTCAGAAAATGATACTTGGTTTCAATATGTTTGCTTCTCCCATGCAACACTGGGTTTCTGGAAATATTGATTGCAGACTTGTTGTCAATCATCAACTTTAGAGGTTTGTTTACTTTAATCTTCAGATCCTGCAACAGATTCAGAATCCACACAGCTTGGCATGCAGTAACAGCACCTGCAATGTATTCAGCTTCACAGGTTGACAACGCCACAACAGGTTGCTTCTTGGAACACCAAGAAATGGAACCTCCCAGAAATTTGAACAAGTACCCAGATGTACTTCTTCTGTCAACTCTGTCTCCACACCAATCAGAGTCTGAATAACTCAGAAGTTCTGACTCATTATTTCCTCCAGAGGAAAATAACACTCCATACTTCAGAGTTCCTTTGATATACCTCAGAATCCTGACAGCAGCTTGGTAATAGGACCACTTAGGTTTACTCATGAACCTACTAACCATCCCAACTGAGTAGCAGATATCAGGTCTGGTATTGCACAGATACCTCAGAGAATCAACCAACTGTTTGAAGGTTGTAGCGTCCACATCCTTTCCTTCAGAGTCTGAATCCAGTTTCTGATTTGTACTAGAAGGTGTGACAACCATCTTACAATTCTTCAGATCAAATCTCTTCAGAAGTTCTAATTCATACTTGAGCTGATGCAAAATGATACCTTTCTCAGAATATCTGAACTCCATCCCTAGAAAGTATGTCATTTTTCCTAGATCAGTCATTTCAAATTCATTCATTAGAACCTTCTTGAACTTGGTTATCTCCTGTTCAGAACTTCCAGTCAGCATTATATCATCAACATATAAACATACCATAGTCATATTGCCTTCAGAAGTATGCTGAACATAGACACCGTACTCCATCTCACATTTCTGAAAGCCTTGCTTCTTGAAAAATGAATCAATCTTCTGATTCCAAGCTCTGGGCGCTTGTTTCAATCCATATAGAGCTTTGTATAATCTGTACACCATCCCTTCCTGATTCTTTTTCACAAATCCAGGAGGTTGTGACACGTAAACTTCTTCTTCTAATGGACCGTTCAGAAATGCAGATTTTACATCTAAATGCATCAGAGGCCAATTCCTGTTAGCAGCTATTGCAATCACCATTCTGATTGTTTCATGTCTTGCTACAGGTGCAAACACTTCAGAGTAATCCAGCCCAGGTTTTTGTAGAAATCCTCTGGCTACCAACCTTGCTTTATGTTTTCCAATTGAGCCATCTGGCTTTAACTTCTGCTTGAAAACCCATCTGACGCTGATGGCTTTCTTGTCTTTTGGAAGTTCTGTCAGCTTCCAAGTCTTGTTTCTCTCTATAGCATCAAGTTCTTCTTTCATGGCCTTCAGCCAGAGCTTCTGCTTAAGAGCCTCTTCGGTACTTATGGGTTCAGAGTCTACCATCATGGCACACTGAATAACTTCTCCTTCAGAGTCTACTTCAGTGTCTTGCAGCATGTCAAATTCTGCAAATCTTCTGGGAACGCTTCTGATTCTTTGTGGTCTCTGAACTTGTTCAGAGTCTTGAGCTTCAGAGTTTCCAGCTTCAGATGGTTGACTTCCTCTAGAGCTTTGACCATCTTCAAGATCTGACATATTTTCAGAGTCTTGGTCATCTTCAAAGTCTGAATTTCCACCAGAGTCTGGATCATCAGAGTCACATTCATCTTCTGAGTCTTCTCCAGAGTCAGAATCACTATCAGAGTCAGAATCAACGTCAGAGTTTACTTCAACTTCAGAAATTCTTAACTCTGACCTTTCTTCAGAAGTTCTAACATCAGAATCAGATTGAGACTTATCCCAATTCCAAACTTCTGATTCCTTCACAATCACATCTCTGCTGAATTCAATTTTATTGGTTTCTGGACAATAGAGCTTGTATGCACCTGTACTGTGGTACCTGTCGCTACTGCGAAAATCGGCGCCGGCTTGACAGGAGAGTCGCCACCGTGCGTTATTTATCCCTCAGAGCGGGAAAGGAAACGCTCGAAGTAAACCTCGCAAAGACGGGGAAAGGTATGGTCATTGCAACCAAAACCTGGATTCGGGAGTCGGTTACGCAAGGGGAAGGTATTAGCACCCCTCACGTCCATCGTACTCGATGGGATCCACGCTGGGTGTTTATAGGTAAAAGGGTGTGTTATCTATCTACGCTAATGGCTGGTCTGAAAAGAAAATAAAAGGACAGGACTCGACAGAACATACGGTGTTCTGGGCCTACGTATTCCCTCGTGCAATGGGAAAGTCAGAGTCAACGTAGTTCGACTGCCTACGTCTAAACGGGGGAAAGGTTGCTCGCCAGGACATCGCGTCCTGTGCCTACGTACTTCCACACAGTATGGAAGATCAGAGCAAACGTAGTTCGACTAACTACGGGTAAACAGGGGGCTCTCACACAGCAGTGAGAAAACAAACTGGTCTCTAAGGCTCGGGAACCTACAACTATGATCTGGTCTCAAGTGCACTCGGGCAGGAGAAAAGGATAACAATTAGTCGTTAGCGGAAAAGTCTCGATCGCACAGCCGCGAGAGAACAAATGTTGGTTGTTAGTGTGCTCGCTAGGATATCGCATCCTATGCCTACATATCTTCGTCTGGTACGAAGAATCAGAGCGGCTGTAGTTCAGCTAACTACGGGTCAAGCTACTCAAAAGCTCCTACAGAAAGGAAAGGGAAACCCTAAAACTATAGCTGAGAAACAGGGGAATCTACCTACTGCTACCTCACCTGGTTGACCATCCTAATGTCTATCATAACAACTCCGCAGCGGAGAAGTCAGAGCTCCTAAGGGATCATGGCAACAGGACTAAACGACAAACAAGAAACTGCAAAGTAAAGAAATACTGAGAGTGCATGAGTGCAACAACTAGACAAACAAGGCACAGAGGCCGCAAACCACAAAGGCAAGGGAGCTCAGCTCTACCAAATACCAACAAGCAAAGCCACTCAATAACAAACAAGCAGAAGGAGGACCACCTCAACTTCTCATGCACACAAAGTCTACTTCTAAGATGCACCTATTCAGAACTATCTAGATGAATACCTAAGTCTAATGCAACATAACATCACACAAGTCAAACAACACAAGGAGGCTAACCCTGAGCAGGGCCTCTATCTACAAAACAAGAAACTACTCCTGGGCAAGGCCCCTAACAAACCTGAGACAACTCTTAATCTATCTCTAAACAGAACTCTATACAAAGCCCTAAGCAAAGATCTAAGCAGAAATCTAATCAAAACCTTAAGC